CTGTGCTAAGCAATGCTATGTTTTGCGTTGCTATGCTATGCTGAGCTATGCTATGCTATGCTATGCTTTGCTATGCTTTGCTATGCTATCCTGAGCTATGCTATGCTATGCTATGCTTGGCTATGCTTGGCTATGCTATGCTATGCTTTGCTATGCTGTGTTAATGCTGCGCTGCGCTATGCTGCGCTGCGCTAAGCTAAGGTAAGCTAAGCTATGCTAAGCTAAGCTAAGCTAAGCTGCGTTGCGCTAAGCCAAGCTAAGCTAAGCTAGGCTAGGCTAAGCTAAGCTAAGCTAAGTTAAGCTAGGCTAAGCTAAGATGAGATCAGCAAAACTAAGCTAAGGGGACGCAATTGGGGGAACCGCGGGGCGGATCCTGGGGGAACCGCCCGGGGCGGGCAACACTGCCCGGCCCCTTTAAGCAAACAAAGTAAGAACCCTCTAGGCAGAGCCTAGGTAGGGAATAAACCTGAGCTAAGATGAAGCTAAGCTAAGCTAAGATGAAATAAGCCAAGCTAAGATGAGATAAGCAACGCTAAGCTAAGGGAACGTCACTGGGGGAACCGCGGGGCGGATACTGGGGGAACCGCCCGGGGCGGGCAACACTGCCCGGCCCTTTAAGCACACAGGGTAAGAACCCTTCTAGGCAGAGCCTAGGTAGGGAAATAAGCTAAGCTAAGATGAGATAAGCAACGCTAAGCTAAAGGGACGTCACTGGGGGAACCACGGGGCGGATGCTGGGGGAACCGCCCGGGGCGTGTTGCACTGCCTGGTCCGTTAAGCACACACAGTAAGAACCCTTCTAGGCAGAGCCTAGGTAGGGAATCATGATCTTCATCGTCATCGGCATCGCCATCGTCATCATCACCAGAACCCTCATCGTCGTCGGCATCATTATAATAATAATGATGATCATCATCAGCAGAAGCAGCAGCATCCTCCTCATCATCATCATTAGCAACATCATCAGCATGAGCATCAACATAAGCATCAACATCAGCATCATCCATATCGTCATCATCATCAGCATCAGCAGCAACATCATAATGATAATCATCCTCATGAGCATCAGCATCATCAGCATCATCAGCATCATCAGTATCATCATCAGCATCATCAGCATCATCATCCTCATTAGCATCAGAATCATCATCAGAATCATCATCGTCATAATCAGTATAATCATCATCAGCAACAGCAGCATCGACATCATCATAGCCATCATGATGATGGTCATCATCATCAGCAGCATCGCCATCATCATCATAATCATCATCATCATCCTCATCATCATCGTCATTCTCATCGTTTTCATCATCGTCATCAGAAGCGTCGTCATCGTCGCCGCCGTCGTCGTCCTCATCAGCATCATAATCATCATATTCATCATCATCACCATCATCATCATCGGCAGCATCATCATCGTCAGCATCGTCAGCAGCAGCATCATAATCCTCAGCATGATCATCATCATCATCATCATCATCATCATCATCATCATCAGCATCAGCATCAGAATCATCATCAGCATCATCATCATAATCGGCAGCATCATGATCCGAATCAGCATAATCATCATCATCAACAGCAGCATCAATATCATCGTAGTCATGATGATGATCATCATCAGTATCCGCATCATCATCATTATCATCATCCTCATCGTAATCGTCATCGGCATCATCATCGTCATCATAATCGTCGTCATCGTCGCCGTCGTCGTCGTCCTCATCAGCATCATCATCATCGTCATGGTCAGCATCATTAGCAGCAGCATTATCATCAGCATCATCATCACGATCATCATCAGCATCAGCATCACCACCATCATCAGCATCGTCGTCGTCATCTTGATCGTCATGACCATCATTGTCATCCTCACCATCATCGTCATCAACAGCATCAGCATCATCATCATCAGCATCATCATCATCATCATCGTCGTCGTCGTCGTCGTCATCACCATCATCATGATCAGCATGATCATCATCGTCGTCATCAGCATCCTCACTGCCCAACGACATGTTCCTCCAACAACAGCGTCATCGCTGTCATCATAACCATCATATCCATGTGTTCTTCCTCAGGTTCATCTCATGATACTCATCATCCTGGCCATCACCATCACGGCACACTCCCCCGCTTTCTTCCGTCCACCCCTCCTCCTCCTCCTCCTCTTCTTCTTATTCCTGTCCCATGTATCTTCGTCTTCTCCCTCCTTCTCCTCCATGAACCGCCTGCACACCACGAGGGAGCATCTCCTCAACTCTGGACTTCTCTGAAAAATAGAAACCTGTGAGCGCACGACCACTCGAAATCCTGGTGGGTCTCACAATCCCCCCAAAGCAACTCATCAAGCATACGTCATTATCCACACCCTTCTCATTCTAGCCCCTTTCACAAGCCCAAGAGAAGCAGTGTTCGAACCACAACATTGTTAATGACCTTCGGCCAGGGTGCACCTTGTGGTGAGCCGACGTTCCGATGCTCGAACAGGCC